AGTCCAGGGTGTACCCTGCTTCTCGCCCGAGTAACCAGGGAGCAAGCTCAGGATGTAGAGCAGGTCATCCACCAATTGCAAGGTTGGTGGTTCGAATCCTTGGCTAGTCCAGCCTGCATGTTAAAGTATTCTTGGGCAAGATATTGACCCCCAAGTTCCTCTCAGCTTCATCCATCAGAGTATTAATTTAGTTAGAAACCACTTAGGGACAGAAATAAGTGCTTGTGTGAATGAGGCATGTTGTATAGAGTAGAAAAGTGTTATAAGAACCAGTCCATTTAGCATTTTTAAACATACAGATTTAACTGGGGGACATAAACAGTCCTCTTCAGAAAGCAGGACCGTTTGTTGGAGTGTCTCACTAACAGGGTGACTGACACAAACTACAAGGTAGTGAAGCTTACTGCCAACAAAAAAACAAAAAGTAGGTAGGTGCCATGTGAGGTCCAGCTGCTGCAAATATACCCTCAAACTATCAAAAGTGTCCATTTATTACGGGTGGGAAATTCCAAACTCAAATGCTCACTGTGGGATAAGTAGTTTCCCCCAATCTGAATCTGTGTCTTCGAAGCCATTTCCCCGATGGGACTACAAGTGTGCCAATGTTGGCTCTTTAACTGATTTTAACATCGAAATCCTGCACTCATGTTGTTCGCCAATTTAATGGCTAATGAGGAAGGGACGTGTTTTGAGTCATACTGCAGCTGTAAGCTATATTAAGTTGAAAACGTAATATATTTGTTGGGCAATGCTACAGATAAGACTTTATGACTGGATAACCTACATTGTGCTCGTAGTTACATCATAATGCTGCCAACTAAACGGGCCACGCATAACAACTGAAGTGCTGATGAACAGAGTAAAAACACCTGACAGCGACATTGCTTTGTTTTGGTGTCTTTGTTCTGGCAGTTAACACATCACTCAACAGCAACACAAACGCAGGGTAAAAAAAAACAACCCAAAACATAAAGAGAGTCCAGTTTTTGAAAATGTAAGAAATCCGCCTCTTATTATCCATCAAAAACAGTCGGGTTGTCAGCGATAATTACTCTGAGACTGAATGAAAGGAGTTCAATTCATTTCTGCTAGCTAACCGTACCGTGTACTGTCTGCTAACGTTAGCATGCTAATCTGCTCGTTAACTTGGTCTTAATTGAACCGTTTTTCCAGGAATTTAGCTTAACCATTTAGAAAATCTGTTGCTTTCCGGTGACAAGTCTAACGACGACAAGGAGTACAAAATGATACGACAGCGAGACAAATTATTTTGCTGTCTTACCGTCTTACTACACTCCCTGCTCGCCACAGTGGGACGTATAGTACGTCAAAGCACGTGTAAATGACGCGATCACGCACTAGTGGCACGGTTTACGTACGTCTGCCTGGCGTACACTGGAGAAGACTGTTATTTCGAAAACACATTTTGTCATTAAGCTCCTTTTCTGTATTGACATTTAATCAACAATCATTTGATTTTAAAACCAGTGCAGCCTATGACTGCGCAGTGTAGCTTCTTACAGTTCGACTTAGATTAGATTTTGAACCGCCGATCTTCTTGGATTAAGTCTTAAAGGCTGTAGTTATTTTATCCTAATCCACAAGTGTACTGAGCCACTCCACATTTCTTTATCATTTGCTAGGAAAAATTGTGTAGTCATATATCGATATGTGCAAACATACATAGAAATAGAGTATATAACACAAGGTTTTTAGTGTTGTATATTATGGTTTCTAACGAACTTGAAAGTGAATATTTGGTATGAGCAACTTTATTCTTCAACACAGTTTGAATTTAGGCAGATTTTATGTAATTTCTTCAAGTTGTCTGCAGGAATAGTTCTCCAAGACCGTTAAAGGACATTCTAAAGCTTTTCTATGGATGCTGGTTTTAGTGCAATTTCAAATACCTCACCCTTTTTTCATGTTGGCATCTTGACAGCTACCACTGAGACCATTTCTGATGAGGCTTCAGCGAACAAGTGAAGGGACAGATACACCTTTCAGGTCTTGTGTCAAACCATTGCTGGACACCCACCTCCAATTTCTTAATGACCTATCTTTCAGGTACTGTTCATTTACTCCAGATATTTTTGTGAGCCTGCCACTTCTTCTTTTCTCCTCTACTTGTCCAGTTTTCTCAGTGCTGAGATATGCAACTTTTTTTTTTTAGCTAATTGCGTTCTGGGATTCAGCTTGTTGGTGCAAAAATACTGCTTTGTGCGTGTGAAACTAACAACTTTTGTAACTTCAGCTAAAGAAATGAGAACAAATTATGTTTTTATTACCCGCTGCTACTAACAAAGTGCCTAAACATACATGTTTTCTTTGATAAACCTAATATGTGTACACACAACAGTGTTTCATCCCTTGATTTATGTTTCTTTTTTTCATGTATAAATTATATAATAATATATGAGAAAAGAAGGTTGACAAAAAATGGCTAGGTTAAAAAAAAAGAAGAAGACTGGACTGAAAAGGAGTAAAAAATCAGCCAGTGTCCAAAGAAAAGCTTTGAAGGACCCTCAGAAAACCTGGAGAATGACTGCTCAAGTCCACTTTAAACACAAATCTGAGTCGCCCCAGAGTTTATTACAAAATAAAAATAAACTCTCGGGTGGCTCAGGACTTTTGTACAGTACTGTAGATATTAGATATAAGAATTTAGAAACCAGGGTAGCTAAAGTATGTACACAGTATATACATACAAAAAAAAAGAAACAAAAAGATTGTACTGTGAGGCTAAAATCAGCCTTTGCAATTGATATCCTGGATGCATCTTAGGCCTAATATATATAAATAATTTATATTAAACACGATCATAAAAAAACATAAGACACATCTTGGGAGAAACTTGAATAACGTCTCCTGAAAAACGACATAAGCTGCAAAGTTTAATGTTTAATTCTTTCCCTTTTTCAAAGCATCAATAAAAAAAGCAAAATGCAAGCCACTTCAAAATGTACTTTTAATGTCTGCTTAAAAGGCACAGTAGGCAGCTTTGAGCAGGACAACAATTTAACAACAAACATTACAGAATCATAAACTAAAACTTTGATCTATCATATAAAATCTAAAAAATTTGCTCCAGGAACAAAATACATTTGCATAAAACAAATAAAACACATTCACAGCCAGTATAATGACATGAACACAAATAGGGAGACAGCTTAAAGTTTGGCTGTTTAGTTTTACTACATAAAATCCTTCTACAGAATATATCGGTATGATGAAAAAAAAAACACAAAGAAACATTTAGGTTGTAGTGTTAAATGTGATTGAATGTGAACACCTGCTTAACAGATAAGGTACCTACTGCTGGTATATAGTGCTGGTAAATCCAGCAATTTAGTGTATTTTCACTGCTTTCAGAACAGGCAGATCTAAATAAACTACTTTTATTTTCTAGAGACCATAACTAGCACATTCTGTCAAATTAAGACATAAATTATGGCTTAGGAACAAATTTGACAAGATTCCCAACTATAGATTGTTTATTTATAGCATATTAGTGTTTGATATGCATAGAAAATATAACAGAATCTATTTTTTCTAAATCTAACTGTGTAAATTGATTTCCATCATTCCAATGGATAACTTATTCCTATTACATTCAGTGACATATGGAGGATCTAATTCTATCAGTATATCTAAAGTTCAGTAAGGCATTGCAGCATTTATATTGAGTTTTTTGTCATTCCTGTGATATAGTATGTTGTGTGCGTTTACTGGTTTCTTTATGTGCGCATGCAGAAGTATTTATGACACCAATGATAAGGCTTCCTGTTCAAAGCCTCGGCATGCAGAGACGAGACGGAGACCTTGAGATAACTAGAACTATGTTACCTCATGCAGAAGCGGCCCGCTTTTCAAAAGAAACACTCGATTGACTCGTGACTGGATTCAGAAGTTGTCCACACTGTGGCAAGAGTAAAAGAGGAAAGAAGATGTGATCTTCACTCAGAAGCGGACACAGCCACTAGTTTCTTCTGAGCTGTCAAAGTCGCTTCCTTCGCACAGGGACTCCTTCAAGAAACGAAAAGAAAAAAAACCCTCAGTGACATTCACAAGTCAGTTTTCTGCAGCAGCACATTCTCAACTAACAAGCCACTAACAGCGACATAGTCCAGAAGTTGTGTTTTGAGACAGCTCCATTAGTATTTTATCAATATCTAATTAAGGTTTAATTATATAGTGCGTTTCTAAAGTATAATCTTATATACTCAACAAACACCACTGGATTTTCATGATATAATACATGTTGAATAGTCGTCTCTCATTAGTTTTAATAAAATTGACTGCATCTATTAAAATACCAAAGAATCAGTATATGACAAAGTGTTTCTGATAAGGTCGCTGTGATGAAACAAAGCTGATATCAACTTTCACTGTGCAAAGGTAATGGAAGATTAGAGAACCCAAAGACTGATAACCACAAAGAATAGACCACTGCGGCAACATATACCAATATGGGTTACAATGAAATGAGTTGAAATACGGCAATCAAAGGTTGACAACAAGTTTCCAAAAATACTTACAGACAGCTGCCTCCTATCCGAGTCTGTAAAGACAGGGTTGGAGCAAGAGAAGGAAGGGAGAGAGAGAAAGACAGATAGAAATGTGGAGAGGGACTGAAGCACTACACCCACAACGCAAGGCCAACAAGTACACAACACATACAAATATGAATATGCATTTTAAAATGTTAACATTTTTAAACTGAAGTGGTTAATGTATTTGGGGGAATAAATTATATTTTTTTAGCAGAAAGCTGACATTTCACAGATTATTTTGGGGTTTTAATCAAACTGAATCATCACTTTGGGTTTTTTAACAGTTATGAGATGATTAGAATGTGCGTCTGTCTCTCTGATGTTTGTGTGTCTTTTTCTTAACTCCACAAGGAGCTTTCCTTAGTAAAGAGTAGACATGCTGTTCTGCATATTCAAGCTGTCAGCAGCCTGGCGGTGAGGCAGACGTCATGCAGCACAAACATATGACAGAAACAACATTTGAAGAAAGGAGCAATCCATTCAAGACCCAAAACATGCCCTGAGAGGAAAAGATAGATGGTGGAGGTGGATGTCATGTATGCTGATTGCAACACAGACACCAAAATTATCAAGAGGATCCAAAACTGAGGTGAGAAAATGCCAAACACATGATTACAACTGTGGCGGGACCAATTACGGAAAGACGGTGTGATTTAGAGGGGGATCCTTTAACTATCTCACTAACTTGGCTTTGCCGTTCCTCTGGCATCAAAGCGGATGGGGTGGGGGCAAGCGGTAGCCAGGGCTGGTTGCCTGCGCTGTAGAGCCTGGGCCGCTTGACCTGGTCATGACTGGACAGGGGAGTGTAACTATTCCGGCGATGTATGAGAGTAGAGTCCTTCGGGATTTTACCCTGGTAGAAAATGAGATACCGCAGGTGTTAAACGAAAAAGATCTTTAAAAAAACAACACCAGGGGGCACCTGACGAGGAACAGCCCAAAAAATTAATAAAAAAAATGCTGCACTCGCCAAACTGATCCAAAGCAAAAGGTAAGGAACTGCTTCCACCCACAAAACATCAGTCAACAGCAAAAGCACAGCCCTGATTGCACAGGACAAAAACCCCCACCTGCTTCAACCAAAACCATGACAACACTGGACCTAAACAAGTCAGATAAAACTGCCTTCACAGAAAATTCATAATCTTAATATGAGGACAGACAGTAGAGTAATGACAAAGATTAGATCATCCAAGCAAAATAAGCATGCTCAGCAATGTCTTCCTTCAAGGTAAAATATCACTTAACATTCACAGGCTCATAGAGCAAGCCAAGCTGAGGAATTAAGGCTAAAGGTAAAAGTGGTTACAAGACAAGGATATAAGGAAAGGAGGCAAGGAAGCAAAGCCTAATATATACAGGGGGTAAGGTGTGATTGTGCCAAATGAACAGACACAACAAACAACAGCGCATCTTAAAATTATATGCTGAGATTCAGTGACCAATTTAGTGCGAGTAAACAATATGCATATTTTACAAATGATCAACTTTAAACATTCAATGGAACAGTGATGTTCGCCTACTTGTGCAGCTATGTGATTTTCTTTTCCGCTCATTTCAGAGCAACTTACAAGAGGCCGGTCTCGGTGCGTGTTTACTGCCTCCACATTCAGATAAAACATTTCCACTTTACAACCTACAAGATAATAGACAATACATTTACATTATCTTCTCACGTTGCCTTATGTTGTTACAGTGTAGCGATCATCAGGTAAAGACTTACCGTATGCAACAGGGGTGAGCTTGAGAATTGTGTGCAGTGGACATTTCATGTACGGAAGATCCTCTGTGAAATGAAATAAATAGCATACGGGTTCATCATTGTCTGCTCGTGTTGTCTGTAGCATGTGTGTATGTTTGTTTTTATCTCACCTGCACCCTTGTCCAAGAAGTAAGCCAGGAGACAGCGCATCACAGCCTGATGGCAGATGACCAGCACATTGCCTTGTCTCTCTAATTCCATAATAACCGGCTCCAAGCGCTGAACCAGATCTTGGTAGGACTAATGAGCAACAAAAGATCATTCTGGGCTCAATTGCTAACACTTGAAAGGAAATTAACCTTCACAGCTTGAACAACACTGGTAGAGAAAGAAAGCTGAATAACAAAGCAGAATAAAACTACTGCCGCTGTGGCTGCTGATCAGACGCTTTATTGTGAGTAGTAGTTCAGGTTACCTCTCCTCCTGGGTAGCGATAATGATATTTGTCTTGATCCCTCAATGCAAACTCCTCTGGGAATGTCTCCTGGATCATCTCGTAGGTCATCTCCTCACAAACACCCTGGAAAAGGAAAACAAATCATTTATCCTCACGTCACAGCCCACGATGAAAAGAAATGTTTCAGCACAATTTGAAATCTAAAAAAACATAACTGGATAATTTCCCTTGATAAAATATATAAATGTCTCCAAAGAGCTAAGCCAGTTTCAAATATAATAAAGCCCAGGAAACATAAGGTGATCTTGAAGGTTAGTGAAAAATGGAGACCGATTTCATCCTCAGAAAACAGTCATCATTTAATCCTTTGATTTCATACTGTGAATAAATAATGACTTATTTCATGTGACCTAGATCTTTTCAAAGTGTTATAACCCTTTTTATTCTCCTCCGGATGCTGCTTTGACATTAAATGTGATCAAAGGGGCTGAAAATTTCGTTTGTCTTTGACTCTTACCTCTATGCAAACATATTTTATAAGTGTCTTGGAAATAACAGCATAAAGTTTCCACTATTACAAACCAGAGGTCTAGCTGTAAAAATTGCTATAGCTGTGGAGGGTACTGACAGCATCAATCTCATTGAGGATTTTCCACTGTTCATAAGGCACGCCAAGCTCTTCCGCTGTCTGGATCGTCCTTCTCAGTTGGCTCGTCCACACCTTCAAATCTGACAGCTTGTGTTCATCAATGAAACCACGCAGAGCGTGGGCGAACTGAGATGTGAGAGAAAGGGAGAGGCTTCAATTTATCCCTCATTAAGGACATTTCTTGCTTTATTAGACAGATATTCACCAGTGAGAGTGAAGAAAATAGGAAATTGAGAGGATTAAATCCAATAAAGGTCACAACTCTGGAGTGCATGATATTGCAGTTTAAGAACATCTTATCCCAGTAGCTATCTTCTCTTCAGAAACTGGCTCAACAGTTCATTAAATGAGCATTAACAGAGTGAACGTGCAAAAATCCTACCTGTTTCCCACGAGGGGAAAGTTCAGAATCTCCTCCGATGCGTCCTTCAACATTGTGTTTGCTCTCTCCGTGTCGACACAGGTAGATGGAGTGAGAGTGCACATGGATGTTCATGAGGTAGTAGACGATCTTGCTCTGGATGTAGTCCTGCACCCGGTTCACCAGAAAACGCTGGCCCACGTTTATAACCTTGATAAAAGAAAGGTCCCTGCAAATGCCAATGCAACACGCCAGTGATTTACTGTCGCCATCTAGTGTTTATTTACTAATTTACAAGGTCTAATTCTGCCAATATAACAACTTTACTGTTTGGATTAATAAGAATACTTTGGAGGAACAATAAATGGTAAAGATTCAAATAACGAAAAGCAGTTCATACTTGTCATAGTCATCAGGATCTAAAGGTTGGTAAGTGACCTTGTAGCACTCAATCCGCTTCAGGAAGTCATCCATAACTCTCTCTCTGTGTCTCTCAGGGTAGTCTGGACTCGAAACCTTCACTTCCTATTATGGTTAACACATTCAAACAATATTAATATCCAGTTCAGTTCTTACATAACGCTGCAGATGGTGTGAATATTAATAGGTAATGGAGTTTGACCCAGACAAAGTCACAGTCAAAGGTTAAATTCATTTAGGTGAGATCATACCAGGATATTAGCAGCAATGACTTCGGGGTCATCACACACCGACTCCACAAAGAACACCTGTCAGAAAGATGGAAACTCAGAGTCAACGTACGCTAAACATTCCTGAAACTGACAATCAATTGTTTTATAACAACAAATTTTACATTGCCATGAACCTAGACAAGAACTTACACAAATACAGGGTAATTAGCATCAACAAAAAACACGACACATAGATTATGAATTAGTGAGCTTTCCACATGCAGAAAGGCAAATTTAGCTCACTGAGTTTGACTTTTTCCAGTCTTAAACACAGACTGGTAGAACTGGTAGCTTCAAATCTACAGAGAAGAGAGGGAGAGGGAGAGCGATCCTGGATAGCTTTATTTTCCCAAATGTTATCTATTCAGTTAACAGCATCCTGTGAAGTTTGAAAGCCTCACAGTTTAAATTCTGTGAATTTTTGACATCTAATAATAAATATGCTAAATGTTTGAAAGGTGATTTTATTAAAATTATTCTGAAATTTTTACAAAATTTGTAGATATTGTTTTTTTGTAGTTCATTAGCCTCTTTTCTTTTACTCTTCTAGCTGTTTCTTACTTTTTAATAAATGTGTTGCTCCCATCAAATTCAAAATGAGCTCATATTTTCTGTGAAATAATAAATGTTTAAATGCTTGATATGTTTTGCAATTCAGTTTTTAATTTAACTTGACTTCTTCAAAATTGGGGTTGTGCATTGAAACTCTTTGTGTAATGTATAAATTGAGCTCATGTAACCTCTGATTGATGATAGCACGTATACTGAACAGAAACCCACAAGGATTAATTAAAGATGGTGATTCAACAGGATCTTGGGAAATAAAGGTCAGTTCAATAATGCTGTTTCCCCCCATGGCGATCGCGCTGTTCAGCAAAATAAATGTGATAAATGTAAAGACTTTTCCATGGCTTCAAGTAATAACTCCAATCTGCACAATACATTTTAAAAGTCCCCACTGGGATATAAATGTGTAAAAATAGCAAATAATTTCACCTTAAAAGCATTCTCCTTCACAAAATCTTGAATAAGGTCTCGTCGTTCTCTTGTTGTGTTTGTTGCATCAAAAACCTGAAAAAAAAAGGGCAAAAACAAAGACAATATTTGTTTGCTCTCTGTGAAATGTTTGTAGGACAGCGTAGGATTAAGACTATCCCAATGCCAGATGTGTTTCTGTTCTGGGTATTTAAAGGAAACGAGCCAACATCGAGACGCCATGTCAATAGAGAAGCATGCACATAAAGACTGAGACACTCACAGCAATCTGACCTCCCTCCTCTGTCAAGTACGCCTTCACATCTTGCAGCGCTACCAGAGCACACTGCCTGCAGCAGAGAAAGCAAACATAGCAGCAGCCAACTATAAAAACCAGATTTACTGAAATCCACCATCATCAAAGTTCACATTCTAGTGTCAGTGTCAGAAATCTGAAAATGTTACAGTAATACATTGTAGATTTCATGAAAAAAAGATTCTTTGCAGCCCCCCCCCTCCAAGTTTTGGATTACAGCTTTCTTCTGTGCATCAAATACAATGGTAAACTGACAACCCCAACAATTACAAGACATGAAAAACACACATTTTTAAAATCACAAAAAAATGTTTCCCATCTGTCGGCAGTAGGGTTTAGTC